CGCAGAAAACAAAATGGAGTCTTTCAGTGTGATCTGCTCCTTTGAACTTCCAACCGCTTCCTAACCCCAGACCGCCGCTTCAAATAAAGAATCAAAAGTGTATCTATAGACGTTTTCCGCATGGGCGCCGCCATCCTGAATAGTCGTCACTTCCAGTATGGGCGGAAACATTGTTCTGCCGTCGCCACGCCAATACAAGATATTTAGGAGAAAAGCACAACCGTCACACATTCTCATTTTGCCTCCCCTCTATTTTTTTTTTTTTTACTATTTACAGGTTGAAACGTTTTAATAATTTTTCGTCGCCCATACCGGAATGCCTATTAGGTGGCTGGGGACGAGAATACACGGAAAAAGTATATACTTCGTTTCACCTAAAAAAAAAAAAAAAATTAAAAAGAAAAGGACACGCGTCTCAAAAAATTAAATTTCCGCAATATTTTTTTTTTTTTTTACAGCACTCTTGACGGCGCGAGACGCGATTTAGCCGGTTGTCACCTTCTTTCCACTTGTTTTCTCTCTCGGCACTCCGGGCGCATGGACGAGAGGTGGAGCGGCTTCGCCTTCACGTTGAGGTGGAGAGAGTGGATGACCGCTCCGTAACGCCATGGACTTTGCGCGCAAAATTTAAAATAAATCTCGCGCCGTCAATATTGCTCTAAAGATTTTTTTTTCGCGTAAAATTTATTTTGTCGACACGCGTGTCCCACCCAAACTACTAAAAAAATTTTTTTTTTTTGTTTTGTTTTATTAGTGACTTTAAGCCAAGAAGCAGGTGACGTTACAAGCTGAAGGAACCGATCATACAGCATCAGAAGCGCAGCATCATGGTGTTCGTGGTGTTTCTTTGCGTGTACTGTCATCGCTGAACCAATCATGTACATGAAAGGCCCAGTGGCTTGCGCTTCTTGCAACCGTTTAATTGGTCCCACCAGCTCGCAGCGGCGGCTGCGTCTGGACGTAAGATCAGTTTCCACGACACAAAGTTTTGATTATAGGTTCTTTGAACGAGAAAGCGATCACCGGCATTTTCCTCTTTTTTTTTTTTTTTTCTTTCCCGGCTAACTGTGCCGCGCCGTGTTTGTTTATATGTAGGTAAATATTCATATATCCTATAACAATTCCAACATCATCCATTTTTGTATTTTTATTTAAAACAAAAAATATGTCAATTACAGATCTTAAGGAACAAGAAGGCACGCAAAAGCTTATGGTGGATACCAGGCATGGGCATGAGACTGCCGTTAAAAATATCGCGCCAAAAATCATTAATTGTGCAAAAATGAACAAGAAAGCGATACTGAAACCAGAATTATTGCGCAGGCAAGCCGATGCCCGGTGATACTGATTTTTTTTTTTAATAAAAAAAATGAGTGCTTGTTTTTTTGTTTTCTTTTCATAGTGCTTGACGCCTTTTGAACTTTAAAGGGATGCTGAACCGATATTTGAAATCTCATAATTATTGCCCGAGCGGGCTTCACGGGATGGTACCGTACCTAAAAACGATATTAAATCAGACGGATGGGCCCCGAATTATTGTCTTTCTTTGAATTAAGAGCGAATCCTCGGCCGGAAGCCGCCGGCGCGAGCGGGTCCTTCTGAAAGCAGGCGTAGCGGAACTGACGTGCGCATTCTGGGCGCCCCCAGCGCCCCTGGTGCCTCCGCGCACTCTCCTCGTTCGTTGGTGCTCGCCTTGATTCTTCGCTCGGCGGCTGTTCTCAAAGCGGCTGGCACTAGTAACACGCCGGCAGAGCCCGCGTGGTACTAACAATAACAAACGCCACCCGGCTTAACGCCTGGCTTGGCTTGGCTCCGTCTGTCTTTTGAGGCGAATGAGAATGCGCGCGTCACGAAGCCAGCTTTCCACGACGCTCACCAGGGGTCGCGTAAAATTGTATATTTCGTGTTTATTCAATTTAATACGTCTTCTCGCTCAAAACAACGTCATTTAGAAGTATAGGACATGCTATGTATGCCATTGCGACCAAGAATTTCCACCCAAACTTTCGGTTCAGCATCCCTTTAAAGTCGGAAAGTGTAACAAACACGCCAAGTTCGCCTAGTCGCTTAGTGTGGAGGGACGACGTACAAAACGACAACGACGTCATCTGCTGCATTAAAGGGCAACTCCACTCAATTCCGAAAAATTTAGGCTTCCATGTGATTCACATTCACAAAGCACTACTAAAAAACTCTACGTCTTCGGATTCGCGAAATGTGGAATATTATTTGTGTAATCCTAATTTAAACATCAGCAGATACCGAAACCGAAACTTTGGTTGCGTCAGGCAACATTGGTCTCGGGTCGTCAGAGTCATGGTCACGTGACGTCAAACCACGTGGTCTTGTGACGTTCGGGAGGGAGCGAGAAGCAGGACACGCAACTAATGTCCCTGAATAAGAAAGGTAGCAACATCTTCTCCCTCCTCCTCTAACGCGCACACCTTTTATCTTTGTGTTTTTCTCTTTTACACCCACGCCTCGATTGTAGCGCCGCCTGGATCGCTCCAAGATATGAGACAGCCTTCCTATACTTGAGTCAGAGCACAGTCAAAGGCTGAAAGACACGCAAAATACATATATACACAGGCTCAAAAACGCACTGTAACGGTCTACCAGCCTCGAAGGATGGACTCAAAGAAACATGGTGAAAGCCGTGACGTAGCACAGTAAGCTTTATTTGATTGGTAGCATGAGCTCGTAGCTTGCACTGCACTCCGACAGCATAGACATTCCTTCTCCTTCATTGTCCCTCATGCATACTTTTATAGTTATCTTTTGCTCTTTCGCGCTCGCGCGTCGATGGTAGCACCGCCTGGACCGCTCCAAGATAGCAGGCGGCATTCTTCAAAGGATGTCGTTACTTTTCCGTATCCAGGGGCTTTACACGCGACGCGGGCAGGTCTTTTTTTTTTCCTTTTTTTATTGGACGCGGGCAGGTCGCTTTGCATGGCGTGGACGGTGATGGCCCGGGGGAGAGGAGGAAGGGGAGAAGACGAAAGAGGAGAAGGGGAGCGGAAAAACAGACCGATAAGCGCGCAGAGCAGCGCAAACCAGCGCATCCGTGTTACGGTGATCACGTGAACGCCCGGTCAGCCAACACCGGGAGGAGAAACTCATGACGTCATCGTTCAATTTCGCTCTGAGAAGTAAAAACAAACAAAACGTGAGAATGACGTAGTCACGCGTCTGACGCTAGTGGTTCAACGTTGGCCGCTCCAACTCCGTCGCATTGGGGAGTTTTCGTAGACCGCGCTGCCCCCTCCGCTAAGCGTTCCGTAACGAAGAAGTTGCTACTGCGCCTGCGCGCCGATAGCCTTGACTGTGGAGTTCCCGCTATCGTAGCGGGTTGCGGAGGGCCTTGCGGGACGGCGAAAACGATCTACCAAAACTCCCTATTGACTGCGCTGATGATAGCGCCTCGCGCCGCACGCTAGAGTTGGCAGATTTCGGCGACTTGGCTCGCTTGAAGGCTTGCTGGTGAGTTTATTGCATATATAGACGGAATGAGATCGTAATATTTGACATGGAGTCTTCCTATATGATACTGAAGAGGGCTACATAGTTTTCTAAATATCAAAAATGAAGCGGAGTTGCCCTTTAACTTGCCAACGGGGATGCGCTCCATGACATTCAGGACTTGGTACAGAGCAGGGCATCATAGGAGTTTCCAATACTCTGATTGGCCGAATGTGGTCGAAGTTCCAGCCGTGAGCTAATTGAAGAAAGCGCCGGCGATATAAAAGAGTGGGCACCATTTTGTGTCATCACGATGTCGGCTAGTACACCCATCTAAACGTTACTCTTTTTGCAACGATATATTTTTTTTTTATTTTACGTTAGGTTTGCGCGTTAGCAAATCTGTACCATTTTTTCTCCTTCTGTTATCGCTTGTGTTGTGCTGCGCCACAGTAAGCTGCGGCAAATTGGAAACAAAATGCACATAAGTACTATTTTCCGGACCATAGTCCGCACCCGGTGTATAGTCCGCAGAGGCAAATTTGGGGTCAAAAATGAAAGTTTTTGCTTAGATAGTCCGCACCCGCTGCATAGTCCGCACTCGGTGCACAGTCCGCACCTGGTGCTTAGTCGACACGAAATTCTTCTCATACGCGGCACACCTTGACATATGTATGTATTCTTAGCTCACAAAAAAAAAGCCTATAATATACATAAATTATCAATAACATGCTCTTTTATTCACAAAATCCGTCCCGTCTCGTCGTAATCAACGATATTGAAAAACATAATTCCTGTATAGTCCGCACAGCCAGAAATTTCAACTTTTAAAGGGGTACTCCGGCGATTTTTGAGCTACCTCAACTAACTATATTTTCTGACTCCCCGGCCTTTGCCCTTTCTGGTATGCTATTTACTATCGTGAAATTTATAATACTTATTGCGAAATCTGCAAATGTAAATGATGCAAAAACCAACATTCAAATATACCCGCACTTTTCAGTGCCATGACGTCAGTGGAAGGCAAGCTTGCCAGTCGGGCGAGCAGTCTAAAAAAATAGAATATGCCAATCATTTGTTCCGTTCTGGAGCGCGGGGACTGGAGCGAGCTTCCAAAGCATTCATTTGACACCATGAAACTGCTTCGAATCAGTTGGGAACAAATTCTACACTCCAAAGAATGAACCCCTGCACTTCCACTGACGTCACTTTTTCGTTGTTGCCAGTAGAGACTTTCAGTTTGAAAAACACGGTGAGGACAAAAATTGTAAATTCAATAACTTCGTGAAAAAAAAATATTTTGACCTAATATTTAAGATACTATTTCGGCGATGTTGTTTGGTGAGTTTAGCAAAATTTCAAGTAAATCAAGGGCCATGAAGAAATCGGCGGAGTACCCCTTTAAACATGTATAGTCCGCGGACTATAGCCCGGAAAATACGGTATTGGAAGCGAAGTAAAAATAAATAAATAAATATCAAGTGGAATTTGGCAACCGACTACCGCCTACTCCGACAACTGGCTTGGCAGAATACTTTTTTTTTCTTTTTGCAAAGAACACAACTATTCCGTAGTGGATAAAAAAAACACAAATTTTAATAATAAAAAAAAAACACTGAACAAAAAAAAAAATAAAAATAAAACAGTGAGCTGGCTTTCGCCGAAATGAATTGAGCCTACGCGCAGTGCATACGGCAGTTCTCAGAAAGGTCTCCGTAGTGAGAAAGGGATACTGATGGTTGGTCTCCAGAGAAATGTGCGCCAAAATTTCCAGGAAACGGCGCAAACCTTGGCAAAGTAGCAAGCTGCGACAAGGCCGCTACTCAGTCGCTTCCTTCTGGACGGACGAAGTGGCGCCATCTCTGATCAAGCCTTCAAAGCAAAGGCCGAAAGTGAGTTCAGCGCCATCTATGTGAAAACACCACAACTAGACGGCAGGCGACGCCCTCGCCATCTAGTAGCCGACACACAAAGCTCTAGCAATCCAGCGACCGTGGCGCCGCTCGAGGAATGCGGAAGCGAGCTCCGTCGACTCCTTTCCACGCAGACGACGCGCGAGGCCAACGTAGCAGCCGCTCCTTTGCCCAGATGCGGTGAACGTTCGCTTCGCGTCCATTCAGCCCCCACGTGGAGAGCGAGCCCCTGCTAGGCCTACACGCTCGGAAAACATCGCCGCAACGCTCATGGCTCGTCGCGGCCTGCCCAACATCCTGATCACCGGCACGCCGGGGACGGGCAAGTCGACGCTCGCCTCCGAAGTCGCCCAGCGGTCGGGCCTCGACTGGCTCAACGTCGGTCAAGTCGCCAAGGAAAACGATCTCTTCGACGGCTACGACGAGAAATACGACTGCGCTGTCCTCGACGAAGACAGGGTCGTCGACGAGCTTGACGACAAGCTGTCTCAACCGTCCGGCGGCAACCTGGTCGACTACCACGGCTGCGACTTCTTCCCCAAGCGTTGGTTCGACGTGGTGTTCGTTCTGCGGACGGACAACGCCGTGCTGTACGACAGACTGCGGGCGCGCGGCTACACCGGCAAGAAGCTCGAGGAGAACGTGCAGTGCGAAATCTTCCAGACGATCCTCGACGAGGCCCGCGAGTCGTACGACCCCAGCATCGTATTCGAGCTGCCCAGCAACACGCCCGACGAAATGGAGGACAACCTCGAGAAGATCTGCGCGTGGGTTGACCAGTGGAAGCTAAGCTCTCGGTAGCGTCTCGCAGCGTTTTGACTCTCGTGTAAATAACTTTAAAGAAAGGAACTCCGGACACGAACAACCGATCGATGGACAGCTCTCAAACTTGTCTTTAGCCCGTGCTTGTTTTTTCTCTACCGCCCGAAAAAGGACAAAGAAAAAAAACAAGAAGTCGTCGTCGTTTCATTTTGGGAACGCTACTTTTTCGTTTTGGTGCATAAAAGACACATGCGTATCTAACGGCCATAACTGAGTCGAGTATTTTTATCGTCACCAATCCGGCAATCGTCGTAATCTTGACGGGGGTCGATTTCGCGCTATCGTATCGCTGACGGCCCAAGACCACAATCTTGCGGTCGTGTCAGCCTTTTTTTGACTTGTGCCAAAACATAAATGTCGACCCTATTCGGCGCAAATTCGCCTTGTTTTCTTTCCTTCCCATTTTGGCAGGTATCAATCTGCGCAGAAATGTTTGCACGTTGTACGCGAACAATTGCGAGGTGAGTCATTCATTGCGGGTCAAGAAAGGGCGCGCGTGGTTGTTTTGGTTTGTTTTACGAGTGCGCCCGAAAGCCCTACGGCGTTGTCTGCCTTCGCGGCCCAAATTACGACCTGACACGATTCTGTTTTGTCAGTCGCGAGAGAAAGATCACCATGATAGAAGATTCGACCCAATTCCTCGGCTCGTCGTCGTTGTGGATAGCCGCGAGCGCTCCGCTGATGCAAGTTTAACATATTGAGGTATTTAGCGCACAAGGTAGGAAGAAGAAGGACAAGACAGAAAAGAGCGCTACTCACAACTACGTTTACTAATAAAAAGGGAAGAGAAAGAAAACACCTAAATAATCCGCCGCGGACTCGTGCACCTGCCACAGCCCCGTGAATGATAGCGGCTAGTTCATCCAGGCTCGTGCGGGCCCTTCATTGTTTGTTCAAGGAATTTCCTTTCCTTGTTTGTTAGCGTAACGGATTCAACGCTGATACAGTTCCTGTCCTCGCGAAGGATGTAGAAGGCCTCCAATACCTCGCGGGTCAATTTGTCTTTGTTCTTCCCCAGGATGTTGGTCTCACGGAATAATGGTCTGCATGTGCATTCCCTGCAATGGAGAGGAAGATTTCCGCCCACTGTAGCCTTCAAGGAGTAATCATGCTCCCGGAGGCGGTCATTGAGGCATCTGCCCGTTTGGCCTATGTAGCTCTTGCCACACGAAAGAGGTATCTTATACACGACGCCCGAAGCGCATGGTAGGAATTCGTTTGCATGCTTCTTGGTGCACGTGGGTTTTGTGGTACCCTCAGCATGCGCATTCACTCTATTGCAAATTTGGCTCATTTTTTGTGGTGCTGAAAAAACTACTCTGACCCCATAGCGGCTTGCGACGTTCTTTAAATTATGGGACATCCTGTGAAGGTACGGTATTACAACTGGCCTTGTTTGCTTGACACTGGTCTTGTTGGACTGGAAGCCTTTTGCCTTCTTGACCAGAGCGTTTGCCACATCCGCCAGTAGGGCTGACGAATAGCCGGCTTTTGTTAGCCTCTCTACTTGCGTGGTGAAGCTGGCTGACATAGTATGACGACAAGACTTCCTTAGTGCCGAGCCCAGACACGTTAGAGCTATGCCCCTCTTGATGATTTTTGAGTGCGCCGAGCCGTAGTCTAGAATGGCTTTCTTGGAACGTGGGCTGTACGACCAACAAACATGGGTGTCCCCCAGGTGGAGTGAAAGATCCAGGTACTGAAGTATGTTTTCTTTGGGCACCTCAAATGTAAACTTAAGGCCGCCTCCGTACTCAGCAAAGGTCTCCATAATGTCTGCTACTTGTATGTTCATACGTTCGTCATCTTGAAGAATTACCAGGAAGTCGTCAACATACCTGGCGACCTTGTTCACATTTTTGCCTTCAAGCTCACTTTCTATCACACAGTCCACTGCTCCCAAGTAGATGTCACTAAGGACTGGGGCAACGCAGGAACCGATACAGACTCCTGACTTCTGCAGATAGCACCCATCCCGCCACCCAACTATCATAGACTTCAGGTAGAACTGTAGAAGCTCCATAAAGCTCTCAATGGGTACTCCGCTGGAACTTCGGAAAGCGAGCTCTCCATTAGCTTCTATACAATCCTTCACCGAGGTCAGTAGCTGGTCGTGTGGCAAGGAGTAAAAAAGATTCTCCACGTCAATGCTGAAAGCGGTTCTCTTCTCAGGACCCCCTAATCGGAGATATTCCACTATCTCCTCAGAGTTGGCAACCCTGAAGGGGTCTCTAATGCTTAGGGCGGACAGTTGTTTTTGAAGATAGAAAGCAACTTGCTTTTGCCACGATCCCTTTTCTGTGACAATGGCTCTAAATGGACAGGCCTCTTTATGTGTTTTTACGCTGAAGAAGACCTCGAGGTGTAAGCGCTCTGCTTTCCCAACTCTTGCGGCTAACTGGGTTAACGCTAGCCGCTCACACAGATTTTTTGCTTTATCTCTGGTTTTCTTCAGGGCGACTTGCACCGGTCTAAAATTTTTCTCAATAGCTGCCCTGGCCTTTTCGTTGTACTGGCCATCTGGCAACACTACAAAATGTCCTTCCTTATCAGATAACAGGACGCGTAGTCCATTAGTGACCATGTATTCTACCAAGGGCCTAAACGGTCCCACTGGTCCTCTTTTTTGCGGAACCTGAAGGTTATCCACGCACTCAGAGATGCACCTTGGTCGGTCCTCCTCTACTGTCCGGTATGCTACTTTCTTGGCTAGTGTAACCAACTCCGGTGGGCTCAAGACTGGCTCGTAGCAAAACTTAGGGCCTACCTCCAACCGCTTGCCAACATCCGGTGGAATCGTTACATCACCTAGGATTGTGAACTTGCCCGCCTGGGAGGGGACCTTGTCTTTCTTGGTTGGTAGATGGGGTCTAATGCTTTGCCAGAGGAACTCCGTAGCATCTCCCGCTGACTTGCTCATCCTACGGAAGTATCTTCGTTTTTGTCCATCATTGCCAGTACTGGAAGCACAGGCTACTCGCAGGCAGTCTCTGAAATATCTTTCCTGGCGCCAGTATTCCGATCGCAGCACACGGCATACCCTTCTCGTATGCCCAGTCGATGGAGCAAGGAAGCCGCACACACCTCTGAGTTCCACTGGGCAGGTACCTCTTCGAATGTGCCAAGAGGCCACCCGGGCACTACACACACAACGGGCGATTAGGTTAACAAGGATACATGGATCCGAGAAAGGAAGGTTGAAGCTTACAGGAGAAGTGCCCGATGCAAAAGAAATAAACTGCAGTAAAGTTGACATTTGGGCTAGTTGGTAGTCTAACATATTGAGGTATTTAGCGCACAAGGTAGGAAGAAGAAGGACAAGACAGAAAAGAGCGCTACTCACAACTACGTTTACTAATAAAAAGGGAAGAGAAAGAAAACACCTAAATAATCCGCCGCGGACTCGTGCACCTGCCACAGCCCCGTGAATGATAGCGGCTAGTTCATCCAGGCTCGTGCGGGCCCTTCATTGTTTGTTCAAGGAATTTCCTTTCCTTGTTTGTTAGCGTAACGGATTCAACGCTGATACAGTTCCTGTCCTCGCGAAGGATGTACCGGGTGAAACAAGGAGACGGTAGGCTCTTTAAATCGACCGGAAAATTCGGTTTCTTAACCTATCGCGCTACGACTTTGTGCAGCGTTGCGCACAGATGGTGCATTTTTTTAGTAAAATTTGCAAAGAGCGAACTTACCTGAGGAAAAAGTAAAGAAAGAAAAAGGCTTAGCTCCTATGGAAACGCAGCGACGCCACCGGTCTGCAATCAACACGGCGCCGTTTCGCACGGTAGACAAGAGATGGCGCAAGCGGTCGCGACGCCAACTGCCGCCAACGAACGAGCAGACGACGCCGAGAACCGGCGTTTTTAGCAGACAAGGAACTGCAGTTGCTTGTTGTTACCGCGCCTGTTTTTGTTTCTGCAACTGTCGCCGTTTGCGGAACGCGCGCCGCTTTTGATTCGAAAAGATCGTCTGCTAAAAACGCTGGCTCTCGGCACCGTATGCTCATTCGTTGGCGGCGTTCGTTGCGCCATCTCTTGTCTACCGTGCAAGACGGCGCCGTGTTGATTGCAGACCGGTGGCGTCGCTGCGTTTCCATAGGAGCTAAGCCTTTTTCTTTCTTTACTTTTTCCTCAGGTAAGTTCGCTCTTTGCAAATTTTACAAAAAAAATGCACCATCTGTGGGCGACGCTGCACAAAGTCGTAGCGCGATAGGTTAAGAAACCGAATTTTCCGGTCGATTTAAAGAGCCTACCGTCTCCTTGTTTCACCCGGTAGAAGGCCTCCAATACCTCGCGGGTCAATTTGTCTTTGTTCTTCCCCAGGATGTTGGTCTCACGGAATAATGGTCTGCATGTGCATTCCCTGCAATGGAGAGGAAGATTTCCGCCCACTGTAGCCTTCAAGGAGTAATCATGCTCCCGGAGGCGGTCATTGAGGCATCTGCCCGTTTGGCCTATGTAGCTCTTGCCACACGAAAGAGGTATCTTATACACGACGCCCGAAGCGCATGGTAGGAATTCGTTTGCATGCTTCTTGGTGCACGTGGGTTTTGTGGTACCCTCAGCATGCGCATTCACTCTATTGCAAATTTGGCTCATTTTTTGTGGTGCTGAAAAAACTACTCTGACCCCATAGCGGCTTGCGACGTTCTTTAAATTATGGGACATCCTGTGAAGGTACGGTATTACAACTGGCCTTGTTTGCTTGACACTGGTCTTGTTGTGCGCTAAATACCTCAATATGTTAGACTACCAACTAGCCCAAATGTCAACTTTACCGCTGATGCAAGGCTCGCATTTTATTGCTCGGGAGGCCATGCAATCGTACCAGACGATTTGTTCGTCATCGCTCATTTTTCTTGTTTTATTTCCTTTTTTTTTTTTTTTTTTTTTTCAATCGGCTGAATGATGATTACGTTGTTGATACTTTTTCTCTGTTAGCCTAGACTTAAATGCACCAGAGCATTCTCATCTTACTAACATACTTTTCAATGCGTACACAACCATTCGTGTTTATGCAGGTTGACGCAAACGGTTCATTACACACAATATTGGCATAGCACACAACCTTTATTTTAGCCAAGTGATTTAAACCACAGAAAGTGAACTGTTGTCAAACTTTGAGGTTAGTGATATTAAATTATTAAGCCATAAACGTAATAGGAATAAATACAAATGCCCTTGTATAACTGCACTGTTTTTTCTTTTTAATTTAGGAAGCTCAAAATCTGCCCTACAAACCTTTTTTTTTTTTTTTTTTTTTAAGAGTTAACATATCCAGCAGGGCAGTTTGTCTGACTCGACGGAACAAATACAATATGCAAATATTATGACCACCTGAGAAAGCAACCACCTTGAAAATGACAGTAGTTTTCAATTATTCGCACTGCGTCGGCAGTAGTGACGAGATCCAAATGGCAAAGAACCTGCAGGGTAGTCTTGGGCAGGTTCTTATTGCAGATGCCCTGCAGGGACCCGCCGGAGATCAGCCCTGCAGCAGGACCCTCTGCAGGGTCCTGCTGCAGTCTACCACCAGTTGTAGGGTACCAGCTACCCAGAGCTTTGTAACGGGCCTGTCCAGCCCTTTTTCACCTACCGTCACCAGCTGCGCTGTTTAGATTATCACCTCGAATTGACTACTACAATGCTTCCACTACACATCGATGGAGTACCATGACAGCCATGCGACTAACAGCGGCAGTACATCGCGAAGCCAAGTACACAACATGCCAAAGACAGGTGCTCGGGATCGTTTCACCATACAGAAGTCGTTGCGAGTGTGCCCAGAAAACCATCATTTACGAGACATTCCTGGCATACAGCAATGATGGGTTCTGATGGCCGCCGTTCCTGCTGCAGCCATTTAGGCTTCTACTACGGTCGTTGACGGGACGAGAATGGCAGGGAGGAGTTATTACCCCAGCACGAGCTTTCTACCTTTGTTGACGCTTCGCCACCTCAAGCCTCGAATGTGTGCATGTTTCCAAAGCACGGCAGAAGGCAAAGAGCACGTGCTGGAGGTGGGGCATTCCTGAGAGAAGAGAGACGTCCTGCCGTTCTCCTCTTGTCGGTGACCATAAGAGTCATCTGGTAGTATGCCTTCTGTTTGTAGGGTTGCACGAATATTCAAAGTTTCGAAGAAAATAATGCCATACTCCATTCGAATTTAGAATCAAATAGGGCTATTCGGCAACTTAAAATATTTTCAAATTTCAAGCGTTCAACCATTCCGTTCGATATCGGAAGATAAGCTGTTGCGTGTATATGTTTAACTCCAAGGAAAGACGAGAGGCTCCGAAACGGTGACAATTTGAATTGCCGTCCCTGGTCGGAAGTAATGGTCTGCGGGACACCAAATCGACGAGTCAGCAAGTGGCTGGTTGCACTGTGATGTCCCTCACTGCAGCAACCTCGGGCCAATGCGTGAAGCGATCTACAGCGGTCGGTAGTCACGAGAAGGAGGAAGCAGTCCTACTACGTCAATATGGATCTGGGCGGAACCTGCGTCTGGTGGGCTAAGCGTCCCCAACGGTGTAATGGTATGCCGACGAATCTTTGAGCGCTGGCGTTGCCTGCAGGTCTTAGCACGATTCCGCACGTCGGCACCGATACGAAGTCAGATGAACCTTGCCACAAGTTGACGCCGAGTAGCACCACACTAGTTTCAAAGGTTCTCTGCCACGACAGTATTAGCGGCCGCAAACTATTCCGTCCACTTCGAAATTATTCAATTCAACATTATTCGTAGAAAGGAACTTATTCGCTTTGAATTGAAAAATCACTATTCGCACATTTCCATTGGTTTGTGGGCTGGTCACTAACCAGAAACTGCACGTCATGGTCGGAGGTCGCTGCACTTCGCCATCTGCAATGCTATTAAGAACATCCCAGGCAGCCGTTGAAGAAATCCTTTCGGCTTGCACTAACCGCTGTCATATGGCGACCGTGTAGCTTGTCACCATTTATTCGTCAGTTTGAAGGAATTCCCTCTAACTGCCAATATGTGTGCAGTAGCCAGAGGTTATTATGTGACGAGCTTTTGCAGTATCGTGAGACTGCTACAGGGCTCTCCAAGCAACCCTCAGACACGCGAGTTCGTAAGGCCACTTGGGCATACTATCTACGCAGATCGACATAGCCAAACTCACATGGGCTGAGCTGGGTGAGGCTGGTGCCGCCGACAATCTCCACGGTGCTGTCTGGAAGGTGAGCGGAGCAGGACGACTGTGAGCCCTCCATCTTGATGCACGACGACATTTCGTTGGTCCCCGGCTCTATCTTCACCGTCACCTGGTTCAAAAAGAAAAGCAACAAAGGACAAGGCGTTCGAGCTCCACAGTTTTTCTATTCCCGAGCTCCTCGACTAGAGCAACGGAACTGCATTTATTCAATTAATTTTTTTTCCCTCGAGGCCCGAAGGCATTAGGGAGAGGAGAGCAACGCAAAAGTTGGACAAAAAAATAAAATTAGGCACACTCAATGAACAAAATGACTGGTAATGGCAGATTTGAAAAGAACAGTTCGTGATGGTGGCGATTGACCAGGGAAGGGTGTGTTCCGGCCTCGGGAAGTATGGGGAACCAAAGAGGAGTGAACTGTTGCAATAGAGCTCGGAATGCCAACCTTGTGTCGACGACGAAGAAGAGAGGAAGCATAAAAAGAGTGGTTAATAATCCGTCGCATCTAAGAGAATTAAATTCAGTGCTAACGAAATTCAGTGCTAGTCTAACTCGATCCTGCTTGGACGATTTTAGCTTAAGTTGATGTCTGTTACGACGGCAGCATCCCGCCGTCTTGTTTGACCTAGACTCGCATCGACGGCTCTTCTGTTGTCTACCAAGGTTGTTCATCAACTTCGTACAAGCACCAACAGCTACTTTGACGGCATTGCCAGATCTAGCCTGGTCTTACTTAAAGGGAGCGTCGAACGTAACTGGCTTCAGACTTTATGCACTACATGCAAGCCTGCTAATGAGAGTATGGCCTAAGCATACCACCATCTAATGGTACCAAGCCAGAAGCTTCACTTTTGCAGTATTATTTCGAGAATAGGATTGGACATTTTCTTCCAGTCTCTTTTGGAAAGGTGGCCGGCATGATAGACCCTTTTCAAAAGTGTGCAACATTTAGCAGCTGCTGCACCCTTTATCCAGGTCCGCCACATGCTTGGGCATGCACTACGAGTACGTACTGGACACAAGGGCTGTGTCAACGTTTGGCACAAACTCGGCCGAGCTCGTAACGAGAACGAGCCGTGTCGGCGTTCGGCGAAGGCTCGGATCCAATCACACACTTCGTGCATGAAAAATGGCGACCACCAGTGTTGCTTGATGGGGTTTTGAAAAGGGTTCATCGTGGAGCCCAAGCTGCGTCACAGTGCTGGATGTTTTCCTCCAGAGGCTGCAAAATGTAGCTTGACACGAATATGTGGACTGTGCTCGCTTGGTCTCGGCTGCAACTAAGGCCTCCGCAGGTGTTCGGATTAGGGCTCATTCTCCAATCACGTGGCCTCTCGTTCCAGTCATAAACTAAGAAGGTAAATGCTGCTCGGTTTTTATCGACGTCCTTCGCAATAGCCAGTGCGTGGACAGAAAAACCATTAAGCATTAAGATATCATGAAGGTCGGACGATAGTTCTGTAGAGTATTTGGCAAAAATAAAAAGTGTGTCATGGTTCCCTCCTTTCATCACCTGCTTACGTCATCCATGAAGAATTCCGTCTGCCAAGTTGTTCATTACTGTACTGGCCTTCCCTGATACTCGCTACGCTGTCATTCAAAGCAACATCTGCCACCCCGATCAGATTTAGGAGAGTCTAACTTTGGCCGATGGCTTCACTGACTATAATAAGGAAGGAGATCAAGATCGACGGATTGATTGATTTCGAAAGGAACCTTCTAGAGGTCATAGAGGGGCAGTCAACATTTCTTTAAGAAGGCAAGACTCAAGGTGCCGGCGGCCATTTTCAAGCCTTTTGGGAAGATCCTTTTCAAGCCCTTTCCACCAGCTCTGACTACGTTTACACCTTGTTTATTATTGCCTGCCATGCTCCATTCCTCCCTAAGCTGACAGTGCAGTGGAAACTATATATGCTTGTTGGACCAATCCTACCTCTACCTTTCGCCACATGATCACGTCCACACCCACACGCAGCAAGTGGGGTCAGGTGATGAATGGGAGGTGGCCGATCAGTCCGGTGAGCATGTAGCTCCTACTGTACAGTTAGCTTAGGGGTGAACGGTGCATAGCGGTGAGCCTTGCTTGGTTCTGTCCAGTCTTACCCAGGCCACTGCCCCTGTCACAATTCATTAATTCCTTAGTCTATTTTCTATGCTCGTGAACAGCCGATGCCATGGTAATGATACACAAACACTAAGATTGACCGTGGCAAGCATACCTGACTAACAACCTGGAATCCGTTCAAAGCAGGGCCCTCCGTTTTATTTATTCCGACTATTCCCCTTATGCAAGCATATCAGGACTTCGCCAATCAGCCAACCTTGACACACTTTCTCACCCGCCGCAGTGTGTCTCGTCTTTCTCTTCCTCATCGGATCTTTTATTACAACAGTCATCTCAGACAAAGTTTGTTATCACCTCCTTACCGCATTTTCCCTCGTCTCGGCCATTCTTGTAAACTCCGTCTGATTTCATTGTCAACCGTCACTCACCAAATGTCTACTTTACCGTTGGCCATTGACGACTGGAACTCACTGCCTGACGTAATTGTTTCCTTATCTGATACTAAGAAATTTTCTGCAGCCATCAGCTTATTTTTTTCTAACCCATAACTAGATTACAACGTGTTTTTGTAGATGAATAGTTTTGTGACTTGTTTTTTTTTTTTAAGCGTTCACTCCCTTGTTCAATGCCCCCTGGGCCTTCAAGGAATAATAAATGATGATGATGATGATTACAATTTAAATGCTAAAAATTGGTCAATATCCATTGTACCAATTTTTTAGAATTTAAATTGTCAATATCCACTGCACTGAGGGTATTGAATTAAAACTTGTTGTTGGCCTAGTTAGTTCATGATGCAGTCTAGAGGTTTTTGTGCGACACAAGGGACAATCACAAGCGAGTAGACACGGACAAGCGCAAACTCACTTCTCAGCACCCTACAAATGCGTTTTGCGTGTCCCAGGGACGGTCTTACTTGTCCAAACAGTGCCGTAATCTCTGGGGGTATAAGACCTTTTTTAGGTAAAAGGTGATGACTCTCGCCCGGCAGGTAGAAGAAACAATGTAGCTCACCAAGGAATTCACTTGAGACACTTGTGCTTGTCCATGTCTACTCGCTTGTGATTATCCCTTGTGTCGCGCAAAAACCTCTAGACTGCATCATGAACCAACTAGGCCAACAACAAGTTTTAATTGAATACATTTCTTCTACAACGGGCCCTTTCTACAATGTTCCATATTCTACGTCTCAAGTGAATTCCTCGGTGCTGAGAAGTTTGTTTTCGCTTGTCCGCGTCTACTCGCTTGTGACTGTACCTTGTGTCGTGCAAAAACCTCTAGACTGCATCATGAACCAACTAGGCCAACAACAAGTTTTAATTGAATACATTTCTTCTACAACGGGCCCTTTCTTCAATGTTCCTTATTCTACGTCTCAAGTGAATTCCTTGGTGAGCTACATTGTTTCTTCTACCTGCCGGGCGAGAGTCATCACCTTTTACCTGAGAAAAGGTCTTATACCCCCAGAGATTACGGCACTGTTTGGACAAGTAAGACCGTCCCTGGGACATGCAAAACGCATTTGTGGGGTGCTGAGAAGTGAGTTTGCGCTTGTCCGTGTCTACTCGCTTGTGATTGTCCCTTGTGTCGCGCAAAAACCTCTAGACTGCACTGAGGGTGTTTACAGAAGTGTCGTACGCGAGTCACGAACCCAATTGAAATGAATCGCCCAAGTAAGAAGGACAAAGTCGCTAAACTAGCCTTGGAACAAGAACACGAATAGATGAGGTGAGATCAGTTCAATTAATTAATCCACAAAGGCATTTATACAAAAATACGAAATCTCACTCACGTTTTCTGGAACTTAAAGTAGGGCAATTGCATCATTCCAAAAGTCTCCCGTATCTAAATAAATTGCACAAATGATATAACAATGCCGAAAATATAAGAGAAATTATGGAGTGACACACAAGGTAAGATACAAAAGTTCTGGGACTGGGTTTACAAGCTCAGAGATTGTCAGAGTGAGGAAGCCAAAACACATACCGTAAAATCCTGAAATAGCGCCCACACTCGATAGATCGCCCACTCCGCTTTTATGTTCGAACACGTGTTTTTCCCTCGAATACTGATAGGTCGCCCACCTTCCAAAAATAGCGATGCCCGAAGGTTGAGAAAGGTGCCGGAGGGTAGGGGAGAAGGTTCGGAAAGCCTAGGATTCCCTTCACAAAAAGAAGAGGCCACACACAATAAGGGAGATAAAATAACGGAAGGAACCTGGAAAGCGGTCAAGGTCACTTATTGAATGACATCAGGAAAGCGTTGAAGGTCACTTAGTGGTTGTCGTCAGATCGCCCGAGAACCCCAGAAAATCTTTCGACCAGCAAACTGTGAAGACGTTTCTTGTGTATACTCGGGATGAGGTCCAGCTATACCATCCAGAAGAAAGTGGAAATCGTGGAATGGCACCGCAAGAACGGAGCTAACGTGAGCAAGACTGCGCGCCATTTCGAAGTTGACCGGAAGCGTGTACGGGAATGGAATACGAGCTACCAAGTACAGTAAAACCTCGTTATAACAAAGTTGAAGGAGCGGTCGTAGTTATTTCGTTATAACCATTAGTTTGTTATAGCCAATGTCCATTTCTCCATACTATTAGCAAGCAAGGGGAATTATGATTGCTTTGTTATATCCATTAGTTTGTTATATCCCATTTTGTTATAACGAGGTTTTACTGTACTTCTACAACAATGCCATGGAACGAACAAGTTGAAGAGAGCAATAGGTAGGGGACGACCCGTTTTTAGTGAAGAAATCGACGACGCACTGATGGACTTCCTGGAGACTGAGATCCGCCGGTCGAGCAGTCAGCAATCGCCTGCTTCAAGAGCATGCGCGGAAACTGGCAGAACAGATGGGCCTAGGAAACTTCCAAGCGTCATGCCAGTACATAGCTAACTGGAAGAAGCAATTTAATGGGTCTATGCGGGTGGGGACCAACGAAAGTCAGAAGCTGCCTGCCGACTACGTTGAAGCAATTACGGTGTTCCGAAAGGCTCTGTCAACTCTGCGCCTGGAGCACAACTACTCGGACTACAACATAGCCA